GTTTAAGGCCATATATGGATTTCTTTAATTTGCAAGCTAAATGTTCTTTACCTTTCTTTGCAAATCCTGTGGCTGCTTCATATAAATTTCTTCATCCAAATTCCTATTTAAAAAAGCAATTTTCACATCCATTTGATGCAACTCTAAGTAATAATGAGCTACCAATGCTAGGATGATTCTACGCGAGTCCTTCTTAGATACTGAAGAGAAGGTCTCTGTATAGTCTATGCCTTCTTTTTTAGTAAAACCCTTGGCAACAAACCTGGCTTTAAATCATTCGATATTGCCTTTTGCGTCATGCTTGGTCTTGAAGACCCATTTACACCTGACCTTTTGGCAGTTATTAGGCAATTCGACGAGATCTCAAACACTATTCTGTTCCATGGATTTTAACTCTTCATTTATAGCATTGACCCATTTAGAAGAATCATCACTATTCATGACTTGTGAAAATGAGACTGGATCATTGTTAATCCCAATATCAAAATCAGATTCCTGTAGATACACCATGTAATCATCTGGAATGGCAGGCTTTCTTTCCCTCTGAGATCTTCTCAGAACTGCCGATTGTGGTGGTTCTACAATATTTTCAATAGTGGTATCTTTATGAAGTGGTGAAACATGAGGTGGTGAAGGATTTTCATTATGTTGTTCGTTTCCCTCAGCCTATGGAAAAGTCTGAGGTACAATAATTTTTTGATAAGGGTCAAATGTTGGGACATCCACCCTAATTTCCTCGAAATTCACCACTCGCGTTTTCTCACTCCCACTAATTTCACCATTCTCTAGGAATCTAGCATTACCAGTCTCCACTATCCTCATACTGTGATTAGGACAATAGAATTTGTACCCTTTAGACTTGTCTGGATAACTAATGAAATATCCAGATATTGTTCTTGAGTCCAACTTTTTCTCTTGTGGGTTGAAGATTCTTGCCTCTGCTGGACAACCCCAAATATGTAAGTGTCTCAAACTAGGTTTTCTACCAGTCCACAACTCAAAAGGAGTTGTTGGGACCGCCTTACTAGGAACCCTATTTAAGATATACATTGCAGTCTTTAAAGTTTCACGCCACATTAAAATAGGTACAATTGAGTAACTTAACATACTCCTAACCATATCTTTAAGTGTATGATTACGCCTTTCAGCAACTCCATTTTGCTGTGGCGTACCAGACATTGTATATTGAGCACAAATGCCTTTCTTTTCTAAGAATATGGCAAATAGAGCAAGATTTTGGCCTGACTCATCATATTTACCATAATACTCACCACTCCTGTCTGATCTCATTATTTTAACCTTTCTATCTAATTGTCTCTCGACTTCAATTATGTACACCTCAAGGATGTCAACAGCCTGAGACTTTTCATGAATTAGATACACATATCCATAACGTGAGAAGTCATCTATAAATGTGATAAAATATTTTTCACCACTAAGACATGGGATATTGAGTGGCCCGCAAATATCTGTATGAATTATTTCAAGAAGCTCATTACTTCTTGTGGCACCTTTCTTGGTGTGTTTGGTTTGCTTTCCTTTAATGCAATCCACACATATCTCAAAATCAGTGAAGTCTAGGTTTTCCAAAATCTCATTCTTCACCAATTTTTCAATTCTATTTCTAGAGATATGCCCCAACCGTCTATGCCACACGTTTTAAACCAATATTCGAATGCAGAGTTACTAATGATTGTGCAAACTGATCACATAAATTACTGGAATCAATTATTATTGAATTAAACATTAAATTGAGTTTTCCACAACTAAATAAAACTGAATATCCAACACGAACTAATTTAGATAACGAAACTAAATTCCTAGAAATTGAAGGAACATAAAAAGTGTCTTCTAAATCCATCTGATGAACCCGTCTCTAAGATCAGTCGGTAGGTTCCTACAGCTACGACTTCAGCTTTGAGATAGTTCCCCATATAGATAAATCTTTCACTTTCCTTCAGTTTCCTGGTTAAGAGGTATCCCTGCATGTCATTTTTAATGTGGATCGTGGCCCCATAGTCAATCCACCAAGTATTAGAAGATACTTCAGCAAGATTTGATTCATAACAAACAAAAGAAAATTTCTTACATTTCTTTTCAAACCAAGCCTTTCGCTTGCTGCAGTCTTTCTTCACATGTCCCTTCTTGCTACAAAAGTAGCACTGGACAGTGAAACCATTATGAGCTTGATTTTCTTCCCCAGGTTCATTCTTTTTCTTTGGTGGATTTTTCTTTGATTTTACAAACTTACCCATCATTTTCTTTATAGCTCCATGAGTTACAACCAATGCAGTTTGACATCCTTCCTCCCTCAACCTCACTTCCTCCTGAACACACATATTAGTCAGCTCATTCAAACTCCACTTATCTTTATTGGTGTTATAGTGAATTTTGAATGCACCGAACTATGATGGAACTGAGTTGAGAATAAACTACACGAGGAAAGTTTCATCAACCTGCATTCCTAAAGTTTTAAATTTTGCAACTTTGTCGCCATATTGAGGATGTGATCCTAAACTCCTCGGTGGCCATTATATTTCATTGTTGTTAATTCAACCATAATAGTGCCAACAAGTGGCTTGTCGATCTTCAACAGCCTTTAACCAAATTTTACTTTAAGCATTAGGGTAAAGTCACTAAAGAGTCATTTGGTCAATAACCAAGTAAGATCCCAGGAAGGTCGGAGGAGTCAATATAGCCTTCCTTTTAAGTGCAACCACCTTAGATAGTAAGCTATCTTTTTGACAGATCTTAAGAGGTATTAACACATGATCTTATGAGTAACACGGAAAAAGGCATAAACAATATACATATTAAAACTTTAAGAATTATGATGAACTATTGATATCACATAAGTCTTTCCTTTGGGCAAAACTTAGGTATATCTATTGTCCACTCGTCAAGAATCACTTATGTAGGTCTAAAGTAATTTATGCAATTTTTCAGCTAGTCATGTTACCTTTAGGTATTCAATTCTAATCTGTCAAATTACATAAGTTACATTATCCTACCCAGTTTATAATTATTTGAAAGTGACTCTCCTTTGGGCTAGTCTCAATCTCCTAATTATAACTACAATTGAGAATATTATCAAGCTTAATGTAATCCTTTTAACAATTCTTTTATGTAGTTTTATATTCATAAGTTTTATAAATCTAGGCCACTTTGACAGCTACTAAATTAGTAAACCCTATGAATACGAAACTAACCAACAATATTCTCTATTCATTAATTTGAGTTATTTAATTATCATTAATTCAATCACTATTTAATGATTTCTAGAATTTTTTTTATGTGATTGCAATTACCAATATGATAATAATAATAACTCTAGACAAACATGAATATATAGATTATATATATATAATATGACAATTAGACTGAATGATTCAACGAATTCTAAAATCACTTTTAATCCGATAATTTGTAATCAATTTTTGATGTACCAAGTCAACCAAAATTGGTGGCAAAATCAGTTGGATTGTGCAATGACTAAGTAACGGCCTAAGTCAAATTTTTGATCGTGGCTTGTTTTAAAAAAAAAAAAACCTTGTCCAATTCTCTCATAAGCAGGCAAGGTTTTAACTTTAAATTTAACCAACCAACCTATGTGGCAGATAAGTAGACTATTATCATGCAAACTTTAAAGTCATGGCTATGTATATACTTATTATAAAGGGTTATGGAGAGCATGTTAATAGCATAACAAAAATCAAAAAGGTGTGTTACACGTTTGATCAATACAAACAAATTGAGATAATATTTTAAAGTCAATACTTTTAATAAAACAAAGGTACCGTTTATTAATAACAGTATCATAAATATATTATTATTCCAATGTGTATTAATTCACAAAACTAAAGCTATGATACCACATGTAACCATAATAATAATGCAGAATTAAACTTAATAGGATCTTGAATTCAATACAACTCAAGAATAAAACAAACATACCTTTATCAGCCATTGAATTAGAGAAGTTGAGAAAATACCCCTAATAGTTGAACCTTGAATTCTTGGCTCACATTCTTCTCTCTGTCTCTCTTAATTAGGATAAAGTGATGGAAAAATACTCAGGATATAAAAGGGGAGTCACCCATCCTTATATAAAGGAGCAAAGAGGGCCAAATAAACTCTATCAGAAAAATTCGTAATCAATCAAGGTTTCCTTCTTATCTTAGAAGAATGATTATATTAAAATTCTAATTACTGAACTTTATATATACTATTGGCTTTATCTAATTGTAGAGTCCAAATAAAATAAAATATGTAAAAATATGTAGCCTATTGGGCCACACTAGAAAATAAATCCAACAGTTTGTACTAATTAAATGCATACCACAGGGCCATTTGAGAATAAATCTGTTCTATCTGCCCAATAAAGCAGCAAGAATCTGTTCCATCTACCCAATAAAGCAGCTTTTTATTGATCGTTCTTTATGTTCGATCATGAACCATCCAATGACTTAGCATCATTCCTTCTGCCAAATATTTCTCTCAAGTAACTAGGGCCAGACAATAGGGAAAACAATCTATACCATGTATGCAACATGCTACAGTAGGGAAGGATTGAATCAATGTGCAAAATTTTCATATCTACCTCAAAAAATTGGGAAAAAGACTGAAAGATTTTATGATATAGTTTTGTATTTGTAGTCAAGTATCAAAAAGAGTAATGGTCTCAAAGAAGTCATCATTTTGACACGTAGTGTATGAAAAGAACACTAGTCCAATAGCATTCTCATATGTGATTATTGCTAAATTTTCTACTTAGGCCTCGTTTGGGAACAAGCTAATTTAGTAACTTTTTGGCTATTTGGTTAAAAAAGTAGGTAAAAAAAATTATATGTTTGGGATGACTTTTTGGCTAATTACGAAAAGATATGCAAAAAGTAAAGAGAAAAAAGAATCTTTGACTTTTTGGTATAAGTTGTTGGCTTTTTGACTAAAAAAGTAACTTTTTGACTTTTTAGCTAAAAAGGTAAGTCCCTAAACGGGGCCTTAGACACCACTACCTTCAATCTTTATAAATATCAAGCCACACGGAAAAAACATAGTAATCCCTCTTGATGGGCTGTGTTTGTATGAAGCAACAGCCCGGATGTGAAAATCCAGCAAAGCTTGCAGCTCAGACACATTGTAAGATACATTTTCTTCATTATTTTTTCGACTTCAACCTTGTGACTCTGTTTTTCTGTCTCAAGTAAGATTATTCAAGACATTTTCTTGTCACTATTCCTTATTTTATGTGTTCTTACAGTTAATGTCACAGATATCAAAGCTTTGTATGAGCTGTTCAAGAAATTAAGCAGTTCTGTCATTGATGATGGTTTTATCAGCAAGGTAAATTCATCTCAACTATGTACCAAAATAAATAAACAAATCTGAACTATTAGATTAACTTATCATGGTGATGAACAACATGAGTTATCACGTTGATATCAGGTTGGTCTTGTTGAACAAGTTCACTACATTGTTATCCTAAACTGACATATAAATTCAAATCATTTCTCAAATCTAGACCTTCACATTTTCTTTTGGAGTTTGCAGGAAGAGTTTCAGCTAGGATTATTCAGAAATAGCAAGACGCAGTCTCTTTGTGCAGATAGGGTGAGCATCCAATTCTTAGTCTCTTTTTTCTTTTTTCTTTTGTTTTTTTTTTTGGAATATCAAAACTTTCTTTTCTACCATGTTGATAGATCTTCAATTTGTTCGACACCAAAAATGATGGGGTGATAGACTTTGGTGAGTTTGTGCGATCTTTGAGCATCTTCCACCCGGATGCACCTCACGCAGAAAAAGCTGCTTGTATGAAAATTTCTCATTTTATCTATGTTTGTGCATGTGCTTGCTTCTATTGACATACACAAAACGTTTTGTTAAAGCTTCAACATGGTGTCACAGTTGCATTTCAACTATATGATATATGGGAGACAGGCTTCATCGAGCGTGAGGAGGTAAAAATGAAAGTCGGGTACACATTGTTTGAGACCTCTTTTTTGTTCACATTTTTTAGCCTCTTTTACCATCTGACTGAACATCTTGAACTATTTTGGAGAAAGGTCAAGCAGATGATTTTGGCTCTACTAGAGGAGTCTGATTTGATCCTCTCTGATGACAATGTTGAAGCTATTATTGATAAGGTAAGGATTGCTTATGGTTATAAAGTTTACAAATTAGTGTGGTCATGCCAAGTTTTGAGCTTAACTTAAAGAGTTTATGCTTAAAGACATTCGAGGAAGCAGATTTGAAAGGGGATGGCAAGATTGATACGGAAGAGTGGAAGGACTTTGTTGCTCGGAATCCATCTTTATTGAAGAACATGACAATTCCATACTTGAAGTAATCTTTTTATCCCATCATATTTTTGTCGTTGTGAGTCAATAAGGTCTCATATGTTTGGTTGTTTTTTCGTTTTTGGTTTTCATTTTCTGAAGAATACAAAAAATAAACTGTTTAACAAATTGTTATCGAAAGGGAAAATTTTCTAAAAACAACCTACATTTGTCTCTGAAAATAAAAAATGAAACAACTTTTCTTTCTTTTTTTTCCCTAGAAAATGAAAACCGAAAACTAGAAATAAAACACACTTGGGAAACAAAAACCCATATCTCTAATTATCGTATCATCTTAAAACTACATCATGGTGGGTAAAATATCCTACATTTTTAATATTCAAGTAGGAAATTTCAAAGAAGAAAAAAAGAGAGGACAAAATTTTGCTAGTTTGAAAATTCATATCCTTTCTATCTTATATCATGCAGTTGATCTTTATGAATTGATATAAATACACGGTGGCATTTCACTCGTGCAGGGGTATAACAACTGCATTTCCAAGCTTTGTGGTGAGATCGGACAATGAAGACGATACTAACGGCTTCCTTTCAAAAGAACAGACTTGAATTACCGTGAAAATGAAATGTGTAATCATCACTTGCCAATAGTTAACAATGTGGTAATGTTGCATCTATACAAATCTAAATGTTCCTAATCTGTCAATATGAGCTTATGCTGAAATCCAGAGTTTTTGAATTCTCTCTCTACTCATCTGGCTTTCTGAGCTATCATGTTCTGCAAGTTCATCGGATAGCAGATTTCTGTGTGCAATCCAGACCACACATTGTCTGCCAAGATTGCATTCACCGCATCCGTTGGATGGAATTGGTCCCACCATAAATGATTGGAAGCATTGCTGCAAGCCATCTCTGGCGAAATGCACATGATCCAACCCTTATACTTTCCTAATCCACAACAAGCATCTGTCGTAACATTGAAACCTGAATTCCCAACACAATATACTGTTTAGACATGATTGTACCCCAAATTTTATTTTAAAAATTAAAATAAAAAAAAAAAATGAGAGAAGGGTTTGATCTGTTATCACCATAACGGTCATTGTTCTTGATTATGTCCATGGATGCTTCAAACACGTCGCAGAAGATGATGTCAGCATCGATGAGCTCCTGAGAAAGCTCCTCAACAATGTATCTAAGGACAAAGTTGAGCTCCAGTATCATGTCGTTTATCATCTGGACACACTCTCCATTCTCACTTTGATAACTCCATAAGTAGTATGGAGCACAGCCAATTGGAGGCAGTCCCATTACCACTACTTTCCTCACATTTGCAGTGTACAAGTTCTTCATCATCATCAAAGGGAAAAAAAGGTATCAAAACGCGTTGCAGATAAAAAGAGGTATGGATGTGGTCAATGGATTAAGAGACTTGGCAACAATGTACTTTCTAAAATAGTGAGTTATCCTCTCCTCTTATTTTGAGAAAGATAAAAGGAGAGAAAAGAAAAGAAAAGAATTTTGAATTCTTGTTTTGAAAACTGTTTTCAAAAACTTGGGGAAAATATGCACCAAACACAATTGTATCGTTTGGTAATATTTACGTTTTCAGTTTTCTATTTATATTTATAAAAATTTTAAAAACTCAAATAAAAACTTGTTTAGTAAAATTTTTTATTTATAAATCAGTGGTCTCAGTTTATAAATTTGGCCAAAAAATGAAAACACAAAAAATGTGTTTTCGTTTTGAATTTTCAGTTTTTTTTTTTTACCACCCAACACTAGCCACCACCCGCCACCATTTTCCACTACCGTCTTGTTTTCTTCTCGCCATCTTCCGCCACCCACCCTCCACCACCACTTTCCGCTGCCACCATCCGCCACCACTCGTCACCACCCACCTCCCGCTACTCACCGCCACTCGCCATTTCTCACTCTTTTAGTTTATATTTTTTAAAATTTTCAAACATTTTGTCAAAATCCAACGCGTTTGTAGTTTATGTTTTTCTAAAAATAAACAAAAACCAGTTTATAAAATTTATTTGTTAATTTTACGACATTTTTACCATCTGAAACCTGTTTAGAAAGGTGCCGTTTGGCAACACTTACGTTTTCAGTCTTCTGTTTATATTTACAAAAATTAAAAAAAAATCAAATAAAAACTTGTTTGGTAAAATTTTTGATTTATAAATCAGTGGTCTCAGTTTATAAATTTGGCCAAAAAATGAAAACACAAAAAATGTGTT